TGTAAATGTGCAATTTGTACAAGCGAAATCCAGATTATGTCCACTGAAAAGTCTAAGTATACCACGTTTGGAGCTTTTATCTGCCACGATTGGAGCCAGACTGGCAAAAACTATTCTAGAAAATTTTGATCATGACGTTAAAGTTTTTTATTGGTCTGATTCTTCTACGGTTTTAACTTGGATTAAGGATGATGATCAATGGAAACCTTTTGTGTGGAATCGCGTAAGTGAAATACGCCGTCTAACGAACAAAAGTGATTGGTACCATGTACCTGGACATCTAAACGCTGCTGATTTGCCCTCTCGTGGTTGTTCTCCTAAAAAGCTGATTGAAAGTAAATGGTGGGAGGGTCCTAATTGGCTTTTGAAACCATCTACAGATTGGCCGTCTCAAGATTATGTTACAAATGAGGTTTTAGTAAATTCTGAGAAAAAATCACGAGTTGTTTCTGCGATGGTTAATGCAGTAGAATATTCTTGGTATTATTCCTATTTTTCCAATTACAATAAAATTGTTAGGATGGTTGCATGGGTCAAACGATTTTTAAACAATATACGCGAGAAAGATAAAATGAAGCAAATAAAGGCTGGTTTGTCTTCTCAAGAAATAGAGTTTGCTGAAAATATGATCATAAGGCTGATTCAAGAAGAAAGTTTTCAAGGGTGCAAAGATTCTAGGTTATCTTCAATGTTGGTATTTCTTGATAGTCAGGGTATTATAAGGATGAAATCAAAAGTTTCTTATAGGGAAGATTCCTTAAGTTTTCGTTTACCCTGTATATTACCTTCCAATCACGTAATGGTTCATAGATTAATATCTTATGAACATGTGAAGAATTTACATGCTGGTGTTCAATTCATTATGAGTAAATTAAGGGAACGTTTTTGGATACTGCGTTGTAGGCAAACTGTCAAGTCCGTTATCTCAAAATGCAGAATATGTCGTCGATATAATGGACGACGTTTGCAAGTTCAATCTTCTCCTCTACCGGTTGATAGAGTACGTGATGCTTCTGTGTTTGAGGTGATTGGGATTGATTTGACTGGTCCTCTGTATATTCGATCTGAGAAGAAAGTGTGGATCATTATTTTTACTTGTGCTATTTTTCGAGCTGTTCACATCGAATTAGTCTCATCATTGTCATCAGATGATTTCATTCTGAGTTTTAGACGTTTCATCGCTCGACGAGGGAGACCATCTGTAGTTTATAGCGATAACGCAAAGAATTTTTTAAGCACTCAAAATTTGTTGAATAAGGTAAACTGGAAGATGGTAGAGGAAGATAGTCATCTAGAAAGGATTTGTTGGAAAAGAATACCTCCAACAGCTCCATGGTGGGGTGGTTTTTGGGAAAGATTGTTAAGGATTTTGAAGGATCTATTAAGAAAAGTATTAAAACGATCTTGTGTGACCTACGATGAATTATCAACCGTTCTTTGTGATTGTGAGGCTATAATTAACTCAAGGCCTTTGACATACCTTACACAAGATGACCAAGATATGGCTACTCTTACACCTGCAATATTTTTGCAAGAAATAAAAGAAGTGGGAGTTGTAGATTTAGACAATATAGAAAAGACCAGTATGAATAGGCGTATGCGGTATAGATTAAAATTAAAAGAAGATTTAAGGAAGAGGTTTAGAAAGGAGTATTTAGGTCAGTTGTGTCAGTCAAAAAGAAGTGGCACATCTTCAGAACTCCAAGTTGGAGATATTGTTATTGTAGAACACGACAATCAGAAGAGACTAGATTGGCCATTGGGTCGTATAGAAAAATTAATTGTAGGTAGGGATGGAAAGGTTCGTGTAGTCGAACTGAAAACTGCTACAGGTCATTTGCTTAGACCAGTACAGCGGTTGTACCCATTAGAAATGGAAGGGGATATAGAAATATTGAAGAAAGTTGAATCAAAAAAGGAAGATCATAGTGATACTACAGAATATGTAACCAGAAGTGGAAGAATTAGTAAGCCCCCTACTCGTTTGATATATAATTAAGTCACACATGTGACTTAAGGTGGGAGAATGTTACGAATTACCATGTATTTTTATTTGTTGATACTACTCTGTATAATTTTTAGTTTACTAGATTTTTAATTTTGTCAATTATTGTCAGATTAATTTTGATGTAAATTTGAAATATAAAAATATATTGGATTGGAAGCTTTCTTTGTATTTAAATAGAAATCCATCTTCACCGATCGCATTCCCTGACCGGTTAGGTCATCGAATTCGTATTACCTATTATTAACTAATATTATACTAAACAAAAAAAAAAGACTATTCTGACAAATAGACGTATCAAAATATCTATAATTCAACAAATGGTTTTATAATTGGACATTGCAACGACCTGTAAAACAATAGGTGAAGTTCTCGTATATCTAAGGCGGTAGCGACATAGTCTTGCATCTTGGACGCTATTTTTATTTAAAATAGTAGTCGCCAAGCCTGCCAATTTATGAAGAAATTTATAAGCGGGTTTTTAAATATTATTTTCATTGTGTTTGACATAAAATATTTAAATTTAATCCATTATTCGTGATTTTACGTATAGTAGATAGAATACATCGTATGTCGCAACCCTTAGATATACCAAACCTTCCCACTGGCAATTCATTTGTTTGGAATGCCTATTTGGGCATTCTAACGACCTGTCAAACAATAGCTGCCAGTGGAAAGGCCACATATATTATCGCCGATTCTTTTTTAAATATGTCAACTTTTTTTATGGCCCTGTATTCATAAATACACCTTTAATATTTTTGATGTGCGAGTTTTTAGTAACAATAAAGCACACATTTCAAAATGACAACTTCATTTGACAATTATCTTCTACCTTCTCTGTATCTGTAACGTGTGGAGGGTGGGTCACCCCCACGGCACTAAGGCCTCATCAGGCCCATTGTGCATCCTCCTAAGATGATAGGCACCTCCTAGCTCGTCAGCCAGCCTACAGATTTAATGTAGTTGACAACGTCGCCAAGAGGTGCTTCTCTTATATCGGCCGGTGTTAGCCGATACTCGCCGAACACAAATCTTCTAATAAATGAGAGCGTCGGGCAATCGTAAAGGATATGCTCGATGGTCTCATCTTTTTATTCGCACTCTCTGCAGAGTGCGGATTCTGACAGCCCCATGATATGGAGACATATGGAGATGCTTCCGTACTTGGCTATGACCAGTCAGATTGCCTGTGACCAGACGTAGATTCTGGCTAGTCATAGTCAAGTATTTGTTTGCTGCAGTATTGTCAGGATAACTTAAGAGCTCCCTGGCAACTCTGCAGTTTCTTGTTTCATCCTATCTTTCCTTGAATTTCACAAGGGAACGTTCTTTAATTAGGTCTGTCACTACCGATTTTGTCAGGCCAATAGAAGGGCCAGGTCCAAAAAGTATTTGGTTGGCTGCTTTCTTGGCTAGTGAATCGGCAAGACGGTTACCTTTCGATGTAACGTGACCTTTGATCCATCTTAAGGTGGATTAGCAAAAAATAAAAAAAAAGGATGGCCAAATTTAAAGGATGAAGCCATACCATATATATATATTCCCGAGTCATTATTTATACTTGTATTACAACAATAAAGAATCTGTTAACTGTGTTTTATTTTGCTCTGAAAACTATTGTTCAAAATACCTTTAGCATATCACAAATACGGCGAATTAAATCAAAGAATAGTTCAAAGCCGCCCCTGTTGAATTTACTTAAAAACAATTTTTAAAGTAGGGTATACAAATCGAACAAAACAAAAGTAACTAACGCAATTATAGTACTTAATGACCGAAACGGCATCTAATAGAAATGTATAATTAATTCGCCAATTTTGTAAAATTCCCATAAGCCATGTATTTTTAACATCACTAGCAACACCAGCGCCCCTGCGGTGAATTGTAAAAGCTCGATTAGCCTTCGCTATTTGGGACCGTCTTTTGGGTATGCCGAGTCGCCTCCTTCTCTCTAATCTTCAGTCAATTAGGCATTCCAAACTGAATGACTACCAGTGGGTTTTGACAGGTTATGATGTGGCAAAGTTATGGCAACTCTGTAGGTCTGGTGATTTGACAAGGTGAATGAAATAGATAGTTACATAGATTGATCATCCCTATTTTTTAAAACAAACATAAGCTTATGCCTTGAAGTAAACATATAAGCAATTATTATTTTTTAAATATCTAAAGTCTGAAAATTGGTTTTAAAATACATTTTTGTTAAACTGATTCAAATTAATAAATATTTGCCAGGCAATATGGCTGCTCGCAAACGACCAGCTTTGAGCAATGTATATAACATATATGTATCATTGACCCTGTTAATGACAACATGACAACAGGGTTGCCATATCTAAACTGTCAGTACCCACTGGTAGCCATTTGGACAGGTCGTTGGAATGCCTAGTCCAAGGTCAATTCAAAAAGTAAACATAGTTTTATCAAAAAACATGAAGCTGTATAATCAGTGTAAAACTCAATGATTGGTTAAAATCGCGAGCTCTTATTGGCTGAAATCACAAAATTTGACAGATGAAAAAATAATGGTAGAGAAATTTTGATAATAGAGGACAACATCGTCTGATTTGGATGAGCAATCTATATAACTGTATATCATTGGATCTTTCCATTCTAGTACACAAGCCCATTATGGTGGTCATTTTATGAAACCTTATTTACACTTTTTTGAGATAAACATTATGAGGTTGTCCTCCACTCCTCTTCATAGTTTTTAGCATGGTCGCCAGGATAGCTCAAATTTAGGTTGGTACGATTATAGCACAGAGTCCATATATTCCTTGAAGTCAGTAGTGTTTCCACGACTCTATTATAAACCTAATTTATGTTGGCAACACGATAACGATCCACAATTCAAAAATGACGTACAAAATTTTCCAGTGTCGACAGTAATTTTCAGTCACGGAAAAGCCTTCTAAATCCGAAATGGACGAACCAACAGACCCGTTTCACCCTTTTGTGCGTTCGGGAAAGTACATGTGTCAAACAAGAGCGAAAACTTTGTAAAAGATTTAATAGCCGGAGGCATCTCGGCCGCTATCGGCAAAACCACCATCGCCCCCATAGAACGAGTAAAACTAATTCTCCAACTCCAAGCTGTGAACAAGCAAGTGGCTCATGACAAAGTCTACAAAGGCATCATCGATGCATTGGTCCGCATACCAAGAGAACAAGGCTTCCTGAGCTATTGGAGAGGAAACTTCACTAACATTATAATGTACTTTCCCACACAATCATTGAATTTTGCTTTTAAGAATTTGTACCAAGGTTTCATACGCGCCGATTTCGACAGGAACAAATTCTGGAACTACTTTCTAGCCAATCTCGCGAGCGGTGGTTTAGCCGGAGCTAGCGCTCTATCAATCACGTATCCTTTAGACTTTGCTAGAACCAGGCTGTCAGCTGACATAGGAAAAAGCTTAGAAGAAAGGACGTACAAAGGATTAGCGGACTGTTTGACGAAAACAGCCAAATCGGACGGAATCAAAGGACTATACAGAGGATTCCATGTACTTGTAGGAGGCATCTTCTTCTATAGAGCTTGTTATTTCGGAATATTCGATACGGCTAAAGGTACCATGTGTGATCCAACTTCGGCGCCTATGGGCGTGCTGTTCATCATCGCCCAAGGGGTGACTATAGTGTCGGGACTGATGTCTTATCCTTTCGATACGGTTGGCAGGAGACTGATGATGCAATCAGGGATAAAGAGGAAAGAACGGGCGTACAAGGGAGGAATGGACTGCGTGTTGACTATTTACAAAAAAGAAGGTGCCAAGGGATTTTATAAGGGCGCGCTGACCAATATATATAGAGGTATGGGTGGTGCAGTGGTTTTGGTGGTCTTCGATAAAATCAAGGCTTTTATATAAATTCTATAATTTTTAACAGAAGCAAAAAAAAATGAAACAAATTAATTTGTTTTTGTTGAAGGACTTAAAAAATGAGCTAGTCTTTATAAAAAATACAACAATGTTATATAAATTGATAGTTTACATTTTTAAAATATTTTTGTAATTTTGTGAAAGGTAAAAGCACCAATAATTGACACCATTTTACTTTGTAAAAACATATTCTTTTTTGTCGGTGCTTATCACGAGTAGTTGAAATGGCAATAGCCAAAAATTGACATGGAATGTCCCCAATAATTGACATAGTTGCAAAAAGTAAAAATAATATAAATCATAAAAAGTTTTACACCAATAGCACAAAAAGTATAGACTGCAAAGAACTGACTTGTTATGTTTAATAAGTTTCCGGTACACTTTATAATGGAGAAATATATCATCAAAGATGCCAATAGTTGACGTAGTAAGATCCAATATTTGACTAAAGAAATCGTACACAGTTTAATATTAAAACTAAGAAAAAACTGAACATTTATTCATAGTAAAAAACAAACAAGATTAACTTAAAATTAACTGAGATGGCTTTAAAACTGTATTTCAGTATGTCACCAGCAACTTGCATATTTGGAAAAGACAGCTTTTTTACAATCTGCGATTTCCCAATTGTGCTGACCTTTGCCTCATTTAAAATAAAAATATTTTTATTATCCGCACATTTATTTAATCTCACCACTTCTAATTCGTCATTTTCAAAACGAGCACAAACAAAATGTAAGGTTCTATTCTTTCCAGAAAAAGCTGCCAAAACATAGTGACTCTTCTTGTATTTAGGGTTATTGTCATTTGTAACATTATCTTCCACGGCATTATCTGATTTATTTTCCTATAAAATAACTCTTATTGATATCATCGTTACTATTCCCTGAATGTATCCATTTTCTTTTTTTTGCTTGATTTAGTTTTCTTTTCCTTGTTTTCTTATGCATTATTCCAATCTTATCTTTTTTTCTTCTTCAAGTTCCTTTTTGTTTAATTTTTTTCCTCAATATAAACTCAAAGAAAGTTTCTTCTGTCATCCACCCGCTCTCAGATTTTCCAATTTCTCAAGTCCCAGGTATACTGTTGGCTAATTCCTCGGGTATCCGTTCATACTTTTGGTGGAGCGAGATCTCCTGCTGCATTTCCTGTAATTAATACAGTGAGGCACTCCTCGTCGCTGTTGACAGTTTTATAAACGTTTTTTCCCCACGTGCGGCCATGACTTTATCTCCTTTTGGATTCAAAAAGAAAGCAGTCTCGTCTGTATTAAAAATGCGTTTCGGATCTTTGTACTCATTATCATTAAAGTAATTCAAAACTTCGTCAAAGCAATCCTTTAGTTAATGTATGGACAGACGCTCTGGTAATGGTTAAATTTTGAAGGGCCCGGTCACTGATTATGGAATTTCGTTCTAAAAGACTAGCGTACCTCTTTTTTCCGGGTTTACTATTGGTAAATGGATTATCTCGGTTTAACTCAACTGTACACTGTTCAGTAATTGTTCTTTTCCAACTGGAAACCCTACTTTAGTCAAACTTAGTGTCCAGGAAACTAAAACACCTTCTTCTTTAGTAAGATATGACTTTCTACCCATTTTCCTCTTTATTGGTGTTTTACCTTTAATTTTGTACATTGTTTTTTGCAGTTGCTGAGACATCTAACCCCCTTATTACATCTACTATTGCCTCATTCATTTCCTCTTAGGAATATTTAAAAATCGCTTTTTTATTCGCCATTTTCTGAAAGATCTAATATAGTTGACACTATGTGCTCCAATAATTGACAGGGGTGTCATCTATTGGATCTGGATATCTTATTTAAGCAGTTTAAATAGCACAATACTTATGACCTTTTAAATATTAATCAAAGTATAAAACTTCAAAAATAACTATGTAACCGGTAATTGACATTTTTGTCAATTATTGGAACTTTAATTAATTCCATGCCCAATAGTTGATACCCACGTTTTATAACCTTCAAACAAAGAGAATAAGATCAAACATTTGCTTTTAAAGATTTTAACAAACTTCAAATCTACGTGTCAACAGTTGACTTATATTTCGGTCATGACAGTTATGTGCATCTGACCTTCACTAGCTTCGGTCACAATGTACTAGATTGTGGGTATTATTTAATGTAATATAGACAAGTCTACTTCTTAAAATGTTCTTTTCTATAGGGTACATTTTTAGGGTGTCAATTATTGGATTGCTGTCAACCATTGGTCCACTTACCTTATTCCAAAAAAGTGTGGCATTACCCTTTTATCACATTTTCAAAATAAATGTGATAAATAAGATTCAGACTGACTATATTTAACCTTTAAAGTTAGTGATTTTTTATCTCTGTAGAAATGAGTTACAAAAAATTATTTGTTTCATCTGAAATTTTTGTATAATTACTTCTTTAATTGATCAGTATATTTAGTATAGATATTCAAAAATATTTTAAACTATATTTTAATTATTTTTGTAATTTATGTTTTTAAAAAAAAAAATAACGTTGAAGTGTCACATTCTTGTAACATAAAATTATAAATGTAGACACCAACAACCTACATAACATTGCTGTAAAAAAATGTTGATAACGTAAAGTTGTATGCTTATGGGAATAAACTGAAATCACTAAACACATATACAGGGCGTTCCAAAAAGTTTAATACAAAAAAAATAGTTTTTAATAAAGATTCAAATCCATAATCAAGCTTCAAATTTTGTAAAATTATAAATGATATACAGAGAAAATAAGTAAAAGTTTGAATCATTGCACTTGTTTTTAACTGATTTATTCAATAATTAATCTAAAACCAATTGGAAATTGGATTTTTCGGTAATGCAGAACTTTTTTTTTGTGAAATGTAATATAGGTACGCTTTTTTGCCATTTGTATTAAACTTTTGGAACACACTGTATGTAAAAAGACGAATTTGAGCAGGTGCTTCGTGTTATTTAGCATCAGGATATTGTCAACTGTTCTGGGGTCTACTAAAGTTATATATGTTCAATGGTTTGAGCTTATTTCTATATTAAATTTGTTTAGGTCACAACGTGAATAAAAAAAGTATACAAGTACTTAAAGAACATAAATTTAACGCAGTATATCGACCAAACCTAATAATGCAAAAGCCTTTTATTGATAGCTTTGACCAACTATGTACAACCCCATAACCTCATTGCCGTCTTCAAAATTTTAATATTTGAAAAATTCAAATCTGGACGATACGGTGGATGTCTTAAAGCCTCGAATTTTACGATACGCATTAAAAAAATGTATTTTGGTTTTCCTATTTTGTTCTACTACTTGCACCTTGATTACAGTGAAATACAAAGTATTCAAAATTTGTTACTTTAATCTTTCCCACATTACACGAAAGTTTAAAAAAGTTAGGATATAATTTTATTGTAGATAATGATACACTGCCTGTGTTAAGTTTTAGATATGGTAATTAAAAATTAGTATCTATTTTATTATGTTTTTTGATATGCAAATAAATATAGATATGTGTTGTAGAACTTCTTTTATTTTTAGTGTAATTTTTTGCTGGAAAATGTTGAACCTTTGCATCAAGTACTACATAATTTTTTCAGCATATTTTTTTTTTTTAAATATTAAATAAACATTTTTATACAAAAAAAAACCTTTAGCTAATATTAAGTACATCTGGTATTATTGAAAATACACTACAAATGTGTATAAGTAACCTGGACAACAGAAAACAAAAATTAAGATCAAAAAATATTTTATGAGAAGAACAAAAAATGAATTAGGTGTACCGCAGAGAAGCGTATTTGGCCCATTATTATTCCTTCTATATATTGATGATATTTCTTATGTTGCAGGTGGTTCTTTTATGCATCTGTTTGCAGATGATACTCTGTTAATTTACAGAAAGTAACCACTATGATTGGTGCTGTTTTAATTCTTTAAAAGTAAATATTAATAAAACTAAGTTTATAATTATCGGGAATTTAAGGTATTACAATGAATTTACTGAAAATAATATGAAGATTAGTATTGAATTAAACATAGACTGGTGGTTCCCTCTTATTTGCTTGATAAAATCAATTACACTATCATAACTATGACACAAGGAATAGATTTTCATATTCCGCTAGTTGCAAGTAAATAGTCTCAAAATTCATTATTTTTTAAGGGGCTTTAAGCTTAGAACTCCTCATAAATGTCGTCTAATTTAATTTAAATTCAAGAGATTATAAGTTATTGAGCCAGCATCTGTGATATCTTAGTGTTTAAAGTGTTATACTTTATATATATATTTTTTTGTAATTTTATTTCATTGCAATATGCTTTTAGCTTTGCTAAATAAAGGAAAAATAATTATTTTAACTGGTCTTTAGAAACTCGAAAAAGCCCAAAAATTGTTAGTTAAAAAACGCGAGAGAAAAACCAAAGTTTAACATTTTTCGAAATTTTGTAATTTTTTTGGAAATATGTGAAATTTGACAGATATGCCCAATGGACAAAAAAAATATCTCCAAAAGATTAGGATTTATGTATATAGGTACTCTCGAGATAAAAACTAGAATAAAGATATATTATAATGCTTGGCAATCAACATTATCTTCACAGTTTAACAGACCCTCGTAACCCCCATTTTTATTTAGTATAATTCTTCAATTTTGGTGTAAATTTTTTAAAATTTGGATCAATATTAAAAACTTTGGTTTCTTGAAAGTAAACTTATAATACTCCTCACAGACCACTGTCTGAAGAGTATAATAAGATGATTGATTTTATACATTCAAAGGTTCAGTCACATAAACGAAAACGACTCTTTTTGTTATTTTCTTTCAAAAGATACCTATTTTTGATTAAATACGATTACCTCAAACGTCATTTTGAATTTTTAAAAACTTATTTCGAATTTGTTATCTTTTACTTCTAAAATACTCAGATACCAATTTTAGTCCAAATCTGTCGACTTTTAAATATATATATATATATATATATTTTAAACTGCTCC